GGTATACAGATTTCTTTGAAAACAAAAAGAGTGTCACTTTAGATTTTAGAAATGATGTAAGGTCTAAACCAACTGTTAATTTTTCTTTTGTGTTTGAATAGGAACTAGAAAAGCAGACCCAAGTGAATACTACGAGTGTGTAGAGATAAACAATAATCAGGAAGAGGGACCAGTCCGAAAGACATGTCCAGGAACTTCAGTATTTAGCAAAGAAACGCAGCGGTGTGTTGAAGCTCCTGTACAACCACCAACAACAACGACTCTCCCTGAACCTGACAGCAACACTGAAATTTCAACATCGCGGCAAACTGATATTTCGACAACAACAAAAACCTTCGTAACCACGCAATCCACGCTGACCACTGCGTCTTCTTTTGAAACTCCATCTCAAAATAGAAGTGTCACTACAGCCTCAATGGTAACGGAACCAACTACCACGACAGGCAAGCCAGCATCAACAACTAACACAAAAAATGACTCATCCAGTATGACAGTGTCTCCTAGCCTGCGTACATCCACGCATTCGTTCGACATATCTTCTGCTGAAACAATTTATAGTTCTATGGCTACGAAAAATCAAACTGAACCAACAACGATAACCACCTCTTTTTCAACCGAACAACTAGTAACCGACAACGGTAATACGGAAACTAATTCCGACAGTACGACTGCGTCTCCAAGCCTGCCTACATCAACGCAATCTATCGACAAATCTTCTGCAGAAACAAGCCCGTCAGAAATATTTACAGAAACATCAACGACTACAACACCTACAGTTTACAGTTCTATAGCTACGCAGCATCAAACTAAACCCACAACTGTAAACACAATGGGACCAATATCTTTGTCAACCGAAAATCTAGTAACCGACGACGTTACTACGGAAACTGATTCCGACAGTACGAATGCGTCTCCAATCCTGCCTACATCAACGCAATCTATCGACACATCTGCAGAAACAAGCCCGCCAGAAATATTTACAGAACAATCAACCTCTACAGCAGCTACTGTTTATAGTTCTTTAGCAACGGAGCATCAAACTGAAGCCACAGCGGTAACCAGAGTGGGTCCAATAACATTTTCAACCGAAGAACAAGTAACCGACAGCAGTAATACGGAAACTAACTCCGACAGTACGACTGCGTCTCCAAACCTGTCTATATCAACGCAATCTATCGACACATCTTCTGCTGAAACTATTCCGTCAGAAATATTTACAGAAGAGTCAACGGCAATTACAACTACAATTTATAGTTCTATGGCTACCACCTTACAAACTGAACCAACAACGATAACCACAGTGGGTCCGACATCTTTTTCAACCCAACAACTAGTGACCGACAACGCGTCGACGAATGCGTCTCCAAGCCTGGCTACATCAACGCAATCAATCAATACATCTTCGGCAAAAACAAGTCCGCCAGAAATATTTACAGAAGAGTCAACGCCTCCAGCAACTACAGTTTATAGTTCTATAGCTACGAAGCAAACTGAAACCACAACGGTAACCACAGTGCGCCCAATAACATTTTCAACCGAACAACAAGTAACCGACAACGGTAATACGGAAACTTATTCCGACAGTACGAATGCGTCTCCAAGCCTGGATACATCAAC